TTGCTCAGGTTGGAGTGCAGCGGCATGATCACAGCTTACTGCAGCCTCAACTTCCCAGGCTCACGAGATCCCCTCACGTCAGCCTCCCATGTATTTGGGACCACAGGCACATGCCACCATGCTCAGCTAACATTTTTGTTTTTTGTAGAGACAGAGGTCTCACTTTGTTGCCAGGCTGGTCTTGAGCACCTGTTGGCCATTATTTCATAAGAGCACATTTTAACACCAAAGAAGTAGAAAAGACGTAATTTCAGAATAAAGAATCACTCTTTAAATTAAATACATTTCCAGCCTGGGCAACATGTCTACTAAGTTAGTAGGCACTACCTCTACTAAAAATACAAAAATTAGCTGGGCATGGTGGCCCGTGCCTGTAGTCCCAGCTACTTGGAGTGGGGCTGAGGCAGGAGACTCACTTAAAGACAGGAGGCGAAGGCTGCGGTGAGCTGAGATCACACCACTGCACTTCAGCCTGGGTGATGCCTCAAAACAAAATTTAAAACTAGTAATAAATTGAATACATTTACCTTTAACAAAAACACTACTACATTATCCTTATTATTTTCATTTTGCTGCAGACCAGTGAGAATATTGTCATGGAAACCACCACTTGGGCCACCAGAAAGAGGCAGGAGAAAAGAAGTGAGGCATTAGAGACTGTCAGAGTAGGGGAAGATGAAGGGGCAGGAAATAGGGGTAAGAAGTTCACCAAAGGTGCTCGCTGTCCTGAATTGACCCCCTTCTAATCACTGAAGTCTGAGGTGGCCAGTTTTAGGCACTGGGCAGAGCTGTGGCCATGCTCACAGGTGAGGGATTCCCGGCCCTGGAGGCCCTGGTGATCCGATTCCTACTCCCTGCAATGCAGAGGTACCTGGACGTGGGCCTGTGACCACTGCTGGCAGGCCATGGTACAGGAGAAAGAGCACAGGACTTGGAGTCAGGAGCCCAGGGCTAGGCCTGGCTCTGCTACTCACCAGCTGAGTCCTGGGAGAAGTCCCTGCCCTCTCTGGGCCTCAGTTTCCTCACTGAAAATAAAGGTTCTCAACCAGTCGTTTTTGAGGAAACTAGATCTCCGGCTTAAGAAAAAGAAAACGAAGCCATGCACATAAGATTTTATACAGAATTCCAGGGGCTTCACCACCCCTGAGGGCCTTCGGTGGCTTTCCCAGGGGCTGCCAACCCTGACACACAGATGCTGGCCCCTTGACCTCAAATTTGCCACTTTCCTAAGCAGTCAACAATACTTCTCAAGTGTCTAACACTCATGCAGCTTTGGGCAAAAGAAGCCAGTGAAGCAGTACAAGGAAGTATCTGTCCCCGGGCCTCCCCTCCAGTTCACAAATGGTCTGCGTGGATGGTCGCTAGTCAACCAAGGTAACAGAACACACATGTGAAGAGGGCTCAGACCGAGACTGCTGGAGGAGGGAACACGGTAATGATGAGAAACCCCTTACTAGGGGCAAAGCTCTCTGGCCGCCCGCAGCAGGGTAGAACAGTGGTAAGAACTTGGACCCAGGAGCTAGAATGCCCTGCATTTATATCTGACTCTGCCATTTAATCCTGTTACTTGGGCAAGTTACTTTACCTTGAGCCTTCAAGTTCCTAGTCTGTAAAATAGAGATAAGAGTTACAGGCTGGGTGTAGTGGCTCATGCCTCTAATCCCAGCCCTTTGGGAAGCTGAGGTGGGCGAAGGACCTGAGGTTGGGCGTTCGAGACAAACTGACTAACATGGAGAAACCCTGTCTCTACTAAAAATACAAAATTAGCTGGGCATGGTGGCGCATGCCTGGAATCCCAGCTACTTGGGAGGCTGAGGCAGGAGAATTGCTTGAACCCAGGAGGTGGAGGTTGTGGTGAGCTGAGATCGTGCCATTGCACTCCAGCCTGGGCAACAAGAGCAGGACTCTGTCTCAAAATAAATAAATAAATAAATAATGAATAAATAAAATAAACAAAAAATTTAAAAAAGAGTTACAGAGCAGAGGCCTGGCGTGGTGGTTTATCCCTGTAATCCCAGCACTTTGGGAGGCCGAGGTGGGAGGATCATGAGGTCAGGAGCTTGAGTCCAGCCTGGCCAATATGGTGTGAAACCCCATCTCCACTAAAAATTAGCTGGGTGTGGTGCCACACGCCTGTAGTCCCAGTTACTTGGGAGGCTGAGGCAGAAGAATCGCTTGAACCTGAGAGGTGGAGGTTGCAGTAGCCAAGATCGAGACACTGCACTCCAGCCTGGGTGACAGAGCGAGACTCCTTTTCAAAAAAAAAAAAGAGTTACGAGTTACACAGCAGAAATGATAGTAGATGCTAAACAGTCCAAGCCTCCCGTGCAGAAGGTTGGAAGGTTGGGGACATGTGACTAGTTCCAACAGGTGGTTTCAAGGCAGGTCTATGGTGACTTTGGAGGCTAGTCTTTTTTTTTTCTTTTTTTTTGAGACGGAGTCTCGCTCTTGTTGCCCAGGCTGGAGTACAATGGCACAATCTCGGCTCACTGCAACCTCTGCCTCCTGGGTTCAAGGGATTCTCCTGCCTCAGTGTCCCAAGTAGCTGGGATTACAGGCATGTGCCACCACACTCTGTTATTTTTTTTGTATTTTTAGTAGAGACGGGGTTTCTAAACATTGGTCAGGCTGGTCTTGAACTCCCAGCCTCAGGTGATCCACCCCCACCTCAGCCTCCCAAAGTAGTGGGATTACAGGCATGAGCCACTGCTCTTGGCCTAGTCTTTTTTTTTTTTTTTTTGAAACAGGGTCTCACTCTGTTGCCCATGCTGGAGTGCAGTGGTGCAATCATAACTCATTGCAGCCTCAACTTCCAGTGCTCAAAAGATCCTCCTGCCTCAGCCTCCTGGGTAGCCAGGACTACACGCATGTGCCACCACGTCTAGCCAATTTTTTTTTTTTTTTTTGTAGTGATGAGGTCTCACTATGTTGCCCAGGCTGGCCTTGAACTCCTGAGCTCAAGAGATCCTCTTACCTTGGCCTCCCAAAGTTCTGTGATTACATGCATGAGCCACCATGCCCAGCCAGAGGCCAGTTTTATAGATGGCATGGCTACAGGATGGAAAAAGGGGCTCTTGCCCCAAATCAGACTTTACATAAAGCATGATTGTGCCAAGCCACGAAATTCCAGTTCTGTTGTGACAGCCAGTGTTAATTACTCTGTGACAGCTAGTGTTTATACAGGGAGGGATCACTGAAATAATGGATACAGGGTGCTCTGAGTGCAGTGAGAGCTGTTATTCTTGGAGAAAATACCTAAATTCCCCACCAAGACAGGATTCTTCAGTTCATTTCTTCTTCTTCTTTTTTTTTTTTTTTTTTTTGAGACAGGCAGTCTCACTCTGTCGTCCAGACTGGAGTGCAGTGGCATGATCTCGGCCCACTGCAACCCCTGCCTCCCAGATTCAAGCAATTCTCTGCTTCAGCCTCCTGAGTAGCTGGGATTACAGGCACCCACCACCATGCCCTGCTAATTTTTGTATTTTTAGTAGAGACGAGATTTTGCCATCTTGGCCAGGCTGGTTTTGAACTCCTGACCTCATGACCCACCAGCCTTGGCCTCCCAAGGTAATCCCACCACTTTGGGAGGTCTACGCAGGAGGATCTCTTAAGACTGTGAGTTCAAGATCGGCCTGGACAACATAGGAAGAACCTGTCTCTATCAAAAAATATTAACAATACAAATTTTTTTAAAAATAGAAATTAAAAAAAGCAGAAGCAGAAAGGTAGAGGTGGAAGCTTCATCCACAGGGAAGTCCTGAGGAAGGCCTACCTCCCCTGGTTCCATGATTGTTGCTCTGTGCAGCTCTCCCTTAACCCTCTTCCCTATTCTGTTTTCTTCTCTTTCCATCCCTCCATTTTGCCCCCACATCTTGACTTTCACACAATTCAGACAAATCCTTAGGCAATTAATAGAATGATTAAGACTGCTAGAGATTGAAGATTTAGAGCTGGCCGCGGTGGCTCATGCCTGTAATCCCAGCACCTTGGGAGCCCAAGGCAGGTGGATCACGAGGTCAGAAGTTCAAGACCAGCCTGGCCAAGATGGTGAAACCCCGTCTCTACTAAAAATACAAAAATTAGCCAAGCACCGTGGCAGGCACCTGTAATCCCAGCTACTTGGGAAGCTGAGGCAAGAGAATTGCTTGAACCCGGGCGGCAGAAGTTGCAGTGAGCCAAGATCGCGCCACTGCACTCCAGCCTGGGCATAGAGTGAGACTCCGTCTCAAAAAAAAAAAAAAAAGAAAAGACTTAAAGATCATCTTGTCTCACCTCCTGGTTCTTATAGAAGCCAGTGTGAGCAGCACCAGAGGGTGGGGCTGGATTATCCCTAAGGTAAGGGGAGACCAGGGGCTGCAGGGGCAGACAGGGAATCAACATCAGGAAGGAAGCTCTTTTTGTTTCAGCATATAGGTTTTGTGCCGTTTATAAAAATAAAGTTTTGGGGCCAGGCACAGTGGCTCACACCTGTAATCCCTGCACTTTGAGAGGCTGACGCAGGACGATCACTTGAGGCCAGGAGTTCGAGACCAGCCTGAGCAACATGGGGAGACACCCCCTTCCCCCCGCCCCGCCACCGTCTCTACAAAATTTTTTTTAATTAGCCGTGTGTGGTGGCGCCCAGTTGTAATCCCAGATACTCGGAAAGCTGAGACAGGAGGACTGCGCCACTGCACCACAGCCTGGGAGACAGAGCGAGACTCCATCTAGAAAATAAATAAATACAATAAAAATAGGGTTTTATCTTACAGTTTCAAGCTTCTACTTGGAAGCAACACGTCTGGAGGCCCCTAGGGCCCCTCCTGTCTAGAATCCCGCGGTGCAAGCCTGAGCGCCTTTTCCCCTCCTCCCTCCCTTCCCAGGCGCGCAGCGCCGCCTGGGGCCGGACGACCACAGCGTCTTCGCCCTCCACGCCCTCCTCCGCGGGGGCTGCCTGGGGCGCCGGGTCACGTGGCCGGGGAGAGGGTTTAACCCGCGGCCCCCCGAGCCCCGCCGCTGCTCTGCCGCCCAGGCCCATGGCCGCAGCCCTGGCGCTGGTGGCGGGGATCCTGGCGGGGGTCCTGGCGGAGGCGGGGCTGCCGCGCTGGAGCGCGCTTCAGCACCCTAAAAAGGTGAGCTGGAAACAAAAAAAAAAAAAAAGGTGACCTGGGAGCGCACCCAGCCCGCCGCGACAGCAGGGAGGGGGGCCCCAGCCCCAGGGACAGGTGGGTCCGGAACCACCCAGAGCTGGGGGCATCCGCCCAGGCGGGCAGCTTGGGGCATCCTCGGACGGACTTCAAAAGCCTCTTCACTTTCCCTGGCGGCCGCGGAGGGGAGAGAAGTTGGCCTGTGACCAGCACCCTCGCTCCCCCCACCTCCCCCGCCCGTGCCCCTTTCCAACGACCTCTGTCCTGGGCTCGCCTCCCTCCCCGAAGTGCCCCCAGCCAAACCCGCCCTGCCAGCTCTGGTTTCTGCCCGTCTTCCTCCGCCTCCCCTCACTGCCCAGTGATTCTTCCAGGCACGAGGGCTTCCCCTCTTCTCCTCTTTCTCTCCCTCTCTGTTGAGCACGCAGCCCCCTCATTCTCATCCCCCAAACCCCGCACCGCAAAGTGGGATTTAAGAGTACACACACACCGTGGGACTCATGGAAGCGAAGGGGGTCCAGGAAAGGAGAGGCCGAGGGAAAAGTGCTAATCCCTCTCTCCTCTCCTCTGCTTCCCTGAGTCCTGCCGAGGGAGGGGTGCGGCGGGTGTGGGAGGGGGGCTGGAAGGGACCAGGGGCGACAACCTCATAACTTCGCCTGAACCCCTGGGTTCTTTGGCAATGGTGGGAACCCTCCCCTCCTCTCCCACACAACTCAGGGATTGTCCCCAGCCTGGCAGACTTCCTGCCTGTCCCCACAGAAAAACACAGACAGGTGCTTCCACCACTCTGAGTGCTTCAGTGGCTGCTGCCTCATGGACTTGGATTCGGGTGGAGCCTTCTGTGCCCCCAGGGCCAGAATAACCATGATCTGCTTGCCCCAGGTGAGGCTCTGGGGTGGGGCAGCTTCTTCTGGCAAATAGAGAAGTGGGCAGAAGAGGTTAAAAAAACACTTGGCCCCACCTGTTTTTTCACCTCTGCCTGGAGTGCCCTTCCCCTTCTCCACTTGGCAAACTCCTACTCATTGTGCAAAACAACTCCAGCCACCTCCTCTGAGAAGCCTTCCCTCCTCGGAGCTCCTGTATCCTGGGCTCAGACCCTCAGCAAAGCATATATCTCCCTAACTGGCCACGTTTTTTTCTCTGCCTCTCCCAGTGGTTGGAACCCTTCAAGGACAGGGATTGCATCATATTCATCTGTGAAGCATGTACCCCCAGCTTAGTGTCTGCACATAGTAGGTGCCCAATAAATGCTTGGTTTTGTTTATTTGTTTTTTTTTTTTTTGGGGGGGGACGGAGTTTCGCTCTTTTTTTTTTTTTTTTTTTTT